TATACGTACTATTTCAAGGGATGAGAGAAACAAAAAACAATCTTTTCTCAACATACCAATAGAAAAAAGTAAAACGATTAAAACGTCACTAATGAGAATAGAGAGAATGATGAGAGTACAGAAAGATACTTTTGGAGAAGAATAGCTTCGAAAGCAAAGAGAGAAGAGTTCACCGCTTTCTGACCACGATCGCCTGCTGTCAAGCAGAATGCTGCTGGGCAAAAAAAGTTCCCTCGAATCCGATCCAATAACAACAAGAGAGCAAACGTAAGATCTGCGCAAATAACAATTTTTGTTCTCCGTATATGGTTGCATATTTCAAGCCTGCAGTGAGAGGGCACTGAACTGGACGTGCACTATTAAAGTAATCACTTTTAGCACCTTCGGAAACCAAACCGCTTCATAAATGCAATGCACTACCTGGAGAATAAGCATTTGACAGGTGGGATGGGGTCTTTTCTTTCCTTAAAAATGTTAACCTCCGCCAAAATGTTTGTTTCATAGAGAAATATAGGAAAGCATTCGGAAGTTGTAACTGATTTTTAAAGTATACTTATTTTTAAAATAAAATTTTTCCGCTGAAACTGTGTTTCACTAACATAAAAGAAGTGTCGGAACCCTTTTATTTAGGGCTTCCGTGTGCTCCGGGTAGAATTATGATTTAACACGCTGACGCCGACCTGACCTACCGGTGGATCATACTTGTCTGTTGCCCATCAGCGGCCGAGCGGTAAAGTCGCGGAACACTGGTAGTTCGGTCCGAGGTTCGAATCCCGCGAACGGACTGGCTGCACGGGTGTTTTCGTGGTTTTTCCCATGTGTAACGTGTATACGTGCCAGTTTCCCTTAGAAAGTCCTCCACGAAGGCATCCCTTCCCTTAGGTAGGTAGCCCTCGAGGCTTTGCCATAATCACACACACACACACACACATACTTGTCTGTTTCGTGGGGCGGCCTGAAACACCGGTGGATCATACTTGTCTGTTCCGTAGGGCGGTATGACCCCAACGTTGGGTCATGCTTGATTGTTCCGTGAGCCGGCAGGATTAACCGATGGGTCACGCTTGTATATAAAAAAATACAATTATTATATTGTATTATATAATTTTATAATATAATAATTTAATTTTATAATTTAATTTTATTTTTTAATTTAAAATTTTAATTCTATAATTTGGCGCTGCGCCGCTCCACGAAACGGACCGCTAATTCAAGCGCCGCCGCATGAAAAGAACAATGAATATCCTCACCGTCGTCAACGTGTTAAATCGGAAACTGAGAAGGACCGGAGTATGGCTCCGGTCCTGTTTAAACTTTGCACTCGATCATGGTTGAGGTAAAGAATCCTGATATGCGGAATTATGATACGAAACTGAATTGAAGAGAGAATTATTTTTATACTAGAAGAAGTATTCAAAGAAATTGTAGTTTTGGGTCTATCCTATGTTTATAACGATTTAATTTAAGTTTACTCACCTTTCCTACCTCTTCTAGCTTCGGTTTACAATTCCTTAAGACAATGAATTTTTAGAACCGCGTTAAATGCAAATGAGTCGAAGTTAACCACCAACTTCAAATCGAATGACTTATAGTCGAAGTTCCTCTGACTTGAGAGAGAGAATCAGGATTCCTGAAGAGCGCGAATTTGCCTTTTGGCTACGTTTTTCTAAGCTGTTATTACCCTCGGCCGTGCCCTTGATAGCTTTGCTAGCTAATTTAATACTAAGGGCTAAATAGCTTAGTTTGAGTTTAAGCCAAAGTGGAGGCTTTTTTGTACGTCCTGGGAAAGGGACCCTCTATCAATCTTTATTTTGAGCAATAAAGTGTAACTAACCCTTCTTGAGTTTACGTTTCTGTTTTTGGACTTAAGAGATTATTCGCTTAATAGTTCACTAGGTTCCTCAACACTTAGTTAATACAGATAAAAGTGAGGATCCCTACAACAGAGACACTTCAATAAGACTTTTTAAGCTTTTCTTACTTCATCGATGCTTTTGAATGAAAAAATACAAATGACAATTAAGCTGATATTTGTTGGGATGTTATGATATAAAAAAGTAAGAGCTCTTCACTGACAGTGAGAACAAAATAGCGCTATAAAATGTCGAAATTAAAGTTTTATTTCAAAAATTAACACAGAGTTTTATTTATGTTCCAATGTGTCGTTTTGACGCTTTATAGATTTGATGTTTTTGGTGTGGATTGAAAGGGGTGGCAAAAGCTCTGGCTACGCTACTCATAATATGATGCAGATCTTTTCTTGATCAATTAAGCTTTCTTTTGAGATGTACACTTGATACACATAAAGTATATGTTTGAGGCAAAGTCGGCACTACGCATTTTAACGCTCAGTTCAATCTATACGGGTTTTAAATTCTTCCCTAAACTGTAAAAATTTTGCTGCTAGTTATTTCTTTCAATTCTAGAAATTTTGCTGTTCCTAAAGACTGCCTCTCGGTGCGCCTGCACCGGTCTGGGACCGGACCTGATATGAAGTGATAATGCTTATAGACCTTCCTCTAATTTTAACTAGTAATGCTTAACAGGACGAATATCCATTGAATTTAAGGTCCATGGAAATAAAAGCAATTATTTTCGTGGTCTTCTGCCATCGAGCAATGCACTGCCGAAAGACGCTGTCGAAAGAAGCTATAATGGGAACGGTACAGGATTGACATTGGAATAGAATTCAAAGCCTCTCCATCGATACAGGTTCGACATAGCAGATCCCCATTACCTTGTTATGCCGATATTCATCTTGTTTGGGCATCACCAAAGCAACAATTTAATCAAATTCTTACTGTTTTGACTATGCACCTTCCCTAATTGTACATCTTGTCCATATCGAACGTCTGTCGGTGTTAGTCTATGGGGTGCATGCTTGTGATGATTCTGTGCCATTGAAAAATGTGTATTAATCCCGTTTATCCGTTATTACATTATTATCAAACATTATGTTTCATCGTGTCGATGCTATATATATTGTTGATCTTGCGTCAAGTCATTTCTACGCAGTGTGGATCCTACGAACGCAGCAAATAAAATTTCAATAAAAGTATAGTTGGTTAGCGCAATGTTCAGATAGATTTTCAGCTGTAAGATTATTTTTCCGTCTTAGATGACCGATGATCCTTCCACTTTTGCAAGTTTGTTTTTTTTTGCTCCTAGAGAGACTCATGTACGGATCGCTCTCGAAACTGATAAAGTTTTATTCCAAAACTACGCTCGAATATGGCTGCTTTTTCGCCTAATCTTGAATATGATTTTTCTTTGTTGATTTATCGCCCACATAGAAATGAAATGAATTTTTATTTTGATAAAAATAATATAAAAGTAGTAAAATTAATGTAAAATGTTTAATGGAATCTGCGATTTGCGGATTAGGGGGATGAATTACAGCTTAAACAATTTGCAGGGACTAGAATACAAACTTTAAATACAGTTAATTTTCAAAAGTACAGAATTTAGGCTCCCCATAAAAAGATAATTAGTTAAAACTAAAGCTGTTAACAAGACTTGTTGCTATAAACACAGTAAATTTAAAAAATGAATAACTTTCAGCACAGTGACAACTTTTACGAAAATGTCTTAAAAGAATTCTATTAAAAAAACAAAGTTAAATTTCTTTAGAATTATGGCCCACTTTTTCATAAACTTAGTCGGAGATCTTTTATAAAATTCTATAAAATTTTGGATATAGCTTCCGTATAGTTTATAGAGATTCTAGAGAGATATATGTAAATTTTTTATAGGGATTTGTCCAGAGATTCTATAAAAATTTGTATAGTTTTTTAAAGATTCTACTTATAGAATCATATAACTTGTGCATAAAAACAATTAATATAATTCTACTGAAAATATCAAATCCAGTTTATAATAGCAAACTGCGTCATGATTCTAAACAATTCTAAATAAGTTTCCTTTAATTTTCAGTAAAAGATCCCATAGAAACTTTTGTTTACTTAAAAGTATAAAATCAAAATTTTGTTTTGGGTTTAAAGAAAATTAATTACGGGATTTTCATTTTTGAATTTTTTAATCTAAATTTTGAAATGATCAATAACAGCGAGCAGAGGAAGGGATAAAAACAGATCAAATTTTTTTTCCGATAAAATTTTCAATGTCACTTCGATTTTAAAAATACTTAATATATTTTAAGTAAAGCTAAATTATTGATTAAGTTAACAGTTAAGTTATTAAGGAATTAAAATTAAGAGACCATTTCTTTTATCAGGATACATACCCAATAATTAAAAGCATTCATTTCAAAAATTAAAATTTTATAATTAACAGCGGCATAGACTTAATATTTTAATTAATTAATAGTTTAATTTGATTTTATGCTTTTACAAGATCTAATTTTTGTATTACGAGTATATAACCTGTAGAGTCATTAGGTTTTTTTTTTTTTTTTTTTTTTTTTTGAAGAAGAAGAAGAAGAGGGGAAAACTGTGCAATGCCCTCGCCGGGACTCGAACCCTGGACCTCTCGAATACGCGTCGAGTATGCTTCTAGTTACACCACGAAGGCATGCGGTTAGAAATTTAAAATGTTAAGCTAGAGGGTTAGAAATTAAAATACTTTAAGCTAGTGGAAAAAAGGTAAAGGTTATTAGAGTTTCAGAAAATTGTTACGCTAAATAACTTTAAATTGAAAAATAGTAAATTATTAGGTTATATCGCCAAATATTTTACGTAATTCGGGTCAGAGATAGCTATTGCATTAGCCAGAATTAAAGCAGGAGGAACCCAGGCCGTCGGTTTTGTAACTGGGCCCTGTCTGTGTGACTATAGCTAGTCTCTTGTTGTGTCTTCTTAGATTCAAACTACATCTACACTGTTATAGAGAAGAGGAAGCACAGCAAAATTGAAATAAATATGAAAAAAAAAAAAAAAATAAGAAAGATGTAGTCATTGGTCATGTGAAATTAAATCTTAGGATTAAAAGAAAAAAAGAAATATACATAATTTCAATAATTAAAAAAGCAAATTATTACTCACTGATAAATGTGATGAAATTATGTAGCTTAAGAAATAAAAATTGGATGATCTCATCTATGTACGGCCTCCAAATCATCTCTAGTTCCTCGAACATTGGTAGAAAAATTCGTGCACAAGACTTCCGCACAGAAAAATGCTAACTGGACTTAGAATCTGATGACAATTAGACGATAGATACTATTCGAAATTGGTTTACTTGATTATTGAATTCACCAACTTAATACACAACTCAAAGTATTTTATTTCAAAGAGAAGTTTTAAAGAACATAGCTGTTCAGAATTTTTCTGCTGATATTTATTGACCTCATTCTTCAGTACCCCAATATTTCGTATATGTCATTTTCTATAATTATTTTCCACTGTAAAATGTTCTGTTTTCCTGCATCATTCTCAATAATTGCCCGCAGATTTTTTTTTTTTTTTTCCAACAATAAAAACCTTTTTCCGAAATGAAACAAGTGAAATCGCGAAAACTATTGTTACTCACTGTCTTCTCTGGTGATTGCTGTTATCCTTTCTTCGTAAAGAATCAATAATTTACCAAATTCAAATAACCATTTCGACCATGCTTCTTTTCTATAATCTACCACTTCCTTTTCACGGAAACGTTTCGCATTTCCTTTATGGGCTGTAATATTATGGTTAGTAATCATAATCTTACTATGCTTTTCCGATATCCATTTTTTAATATCGGGTTTTGCCTAACTGATTTCCAGTTTGTCTGTCTGTAGTTTTATGGCATCATTCTTTAAGTTTTCCTATTAAATGCATTTTTATCCTGTTTAGTTAATATGCTTGACATGATAAAAATTAAAATTCAGATAAGTTTGGATAAGGACAGAAACCTGCAGTCGCTAATTATAAAATGAATAAAATACTTTAATTCTATGATGTTGGGAAGACTAGAGCTTCACAAGATGATTTTCGAATACAGTCAGGAAAGAAATTCTCCGAATTTTTAATTCTAAAGTATCCCGCTTATAAAATTAATTATTTTACATTTATCAACACTAGCATCTTTTGCATAAAATGTGAAGATGATTAGTCTGTCTGAAGGCGAACTGACCAATGCTTTTTGTCATTTACGTATCAGGTTTACTAATGTAACTATGTGCAATAGTATAGAAGGAGTTAAAATAATTTAATTCATTAATTATAGTATTTTCTTGATTAGAGTTCTGAAATATTATTACATTTTCCAGTTCCTAATAATTATTAATTTAATTACAGTTCTAATTAACTTATTTGAGAACAGTGTTAAATTAATACTTTCCAATAATTATTATATTTTTTAAATTCCGAATAATTATTATATTTTCATAACAGTTCTGAATTTATTTAACTCGGAATGTAATTTAAATTCCAAATAATTAATTTAATAATAGGTTATTTGATAAATAATAGTTTTTAATTTCATTACATTTCTAATAATTCTTTAGTTTAATAATAATTCTTTATCTAATAACACTTCCGAATAATTATTACATTTCTTGATTAGAATTCGGAATAATTATTACATTCCACTAGTAGTCCCCAATTAACTGTCCCCAAGAAATAGTTCGAATAATTCTTCAGAATGATTATAAGATTTCTTCAGAATGTATATAAGATATAAGAATGATTATAAGTTCCCAATAATTATTATTTTAATAAACCGATAGAGTTCTTATTTAAATAGAAATTTCAAATAATTATTATACTCTCTTGATTAGAGATTAGAACAGTTATTATATTCTATTAATAATAGTTCTACATTTTTTTAAAAATAGTTCCTAATAATTATTAGTTAGACAATAATATCGAACAAGAGTTATTTCAAAAATTATAGTTCTTAATTTCATAATAGTTCCGAACGATTTTTACACTTTCTTGATCAACGTTCAGAAAATCATTAACAAAAATAATTTTAAGTTTCAAAATCTTTTCTCCCCAAAATATCAGATTTTTCAGGGCACGAAGGATTAAGGACATGAACCTTTTCGTTTGGTTTTTTCTTTATGAAGTAATTTTCTGTAATTGCAATATGAGTATTGGAATTTTACTAACAGTTTTCAAGTTTATATACGAAATAATTAAATCCTAAAACAATTTGTAATTCTAATAGCAGGTGATGGAAATTAAGCACCAGAAAAGATGTAAAAAGACAATTACTAACAGTAGAGAGGAGAAAGCAGATCCAGTCCCTTTTTTAAAAACTTCAGAGCATAAAAGAATATCCCGAAGTCCAAGTGGTAACACAAAGAATGAAAATAAGAAGATTACATCAAAAACAGTCACAATTACCAATGGAAAGGAGATATCAAAGAAAACAAACGAAATAGTGAAAGGAGTCTCAAAAATTTGTGTCAGCGATTTTGCCACAGCTCGAAAGACATCAAGGAGTCTAAAAGATACACTAGATTCAAAAAGAATAAAAACAGAAAATCAAACCGAAATTATCCCGTTTATCGACAAATCCCTGTTATCATCTGCAGAATTTCTGAAAAAAGGAGTTATAAACAATCTCCACCCTGGAATCGTGCGAGCCCCAAAAGAAAAGGGGATGCTCTCAGATTTGGGTCTAAGATCAAGAACTGTTCAAAGACATAGCAGAAATAATAAAGTGAACAAAGAAGGTAAAAGGAAAAGAAGAACTAAGGAGACATTACAAAATAACAAACCAGCTCCGAAACCGAAAATAAGTATTCAACAAAGAAAGGAGAGACGACCAAGAGAGACAAAACAAAAGAAACTTCGTAAGATGGTTAATACTTTAAAAAAGGGAAAGAAAGAGAACAAAGATTCGGAAACAATTAAGTTAATGCGAAAAAGAATTAAAGTAAAGAAACCAGTTGTCACGAAAGCCAGTGTCAATGTAAAACAGCTTGATGAGCTCGCAAAGAAAAGACTAATCCAGGTAAATACAAAACTATTGCATAACATTTCACTGTTTTCATTCACCTTCAAATAGTCTAATCATTTTATTAATAGCTGACTTTTGTTTCGATATGTAATATAGCCATCCATTAGATAATGCAATTCTAGTTGTCATTATTCCGAAATACATAGGTTGATCTCTAGATGATACTGACTAAAAATCATTAAAGTAACTATATTTTATATAATATTTAAGTTTTGAAAATTAAATTCCATAATTGGTAAATTAGCTAATGCTCATGCAAGTGTTCCTTTAACGAAAAATGATTATCATGATTAAACCATTAAAAATGGCCATACATTTTGGGAAAACCAAACACGAAGCTATGTAAAAATTATAGTTTTTAATTTTGAAATCAATGATTTACTCGTCACGAGTAATTTAAAACTAAGAACTTGCTAAATTTTAATTAATAGATAAAATTGCAACCTTATACCCGAATACGCTTTTGCTAGTATGGTGTTAGTCGAAAATGCTTTTGCACAGATGATCTTGTGAATTGTACCAAAATAACAAAAATCACGTTTGTAGTCATTGAAAAATAAATGCAAATTTCTTCTAAAAAAATAAAATAAGAATCACAGCAGATAAAAATTTAATAAATTCGCACGGTCGTCAAAGAAAGGGAAAAAGCAAAGGCCAAACCTACAATATAAAGTATCTGTCTATTTCTGTTGTCAGCATTAGCGTATCTTTAATGAAAGCTAATTTTTAATTTTCGTGTTCAGCAAACTAATTAAGTTTATCTGCACTGATTTGAAGCTAGTGATAAACTTTTCTGCAATTTTTTTTTAAATACCCAACTGCATCAATAACTGCTTCAATTATGGTTAATTACTGTTAATAACTTTATAATTTTCTTTGAAATAAATGTATTTAATTATGATATTAACCTATACATTTTTAATCATCATTTTTACTTCCTTGTACGAAGTAAAAAGGAAGTATTGTAATCGCGAAAAGTTTCAGGCAGCATATTTCAACGAAAATATTCATTTTGACCGCTTTCGAATGCAATTTAACGATGTTTTTGCGTGATATCTGTACGTAAGGACAGAATAAAAGACTCGTTTCCTCCAAAAAAATTATAAAACTGCTTTAAAACGAATTCTGAAGAGAATTTTTCGTGGCGTCTGTACGAACGTATGTACGTACGTACGTATCTCGCATAACTCAAAAACGAGTAGCCTCAGAACGTTGACATTTTGTATATAGGACTCCTATAACATGTAAATGTGCACCTCGTATTTTGGTTTCAATCGGCCGCACCAAACGTATATAAATATATTTATATATCCACTCTGTTACCCGGCTCAGTGATCTCAGTTTCTTTACTCTTATATGTTTGTAAATTGTACATTTTTTTGCTTTAAAAATGATTGAATTATGTTGTTTTTATCTTCCGGTTAAGGTTTTTATGCCTTTAGTAAATGTGTGTAATATTTTTAGAATTATCAACAATTTTAAAGTTGTTTAAGTGCCGCTAAATCTTTTCTTTTGACGGTGGCCATTGATTGTTTACATTTGAATCAGCAGACTAGTGGATTTGTTGCCAATCTAGAGAACTTAGCTTTGTAACAACAAAGATAACGCCTTCATTTATTATTGCCAATTAAAAATCATGCTTAATCCTTTCTGGAATTTTTTTAGGAAATAAGTATTAAATTTACTTCGTAATTTTTAATATAGATATTTTGAGTTTTTATGTATTTTTGCCTTCTCGCGAAGTGAGAACTGAATTAATTGAATGAGAAATATATCTCAAGGAAATCGAAGAAATAAGTGTTTTGCATTACCAGCAAATATTAGTCTTACCGAATGCGCATGCGCTGCTCGTAAACAGATGAGAATTTTACGAGCAGTGCATGCGCATTAGGTAAGCGGCGCTGATTTGTTGTGAAAAGCGGTTTCTTTTTAATTTGTTTTTTAATTTCTTTTATACATCATTCTTAGATTTATTATAGTATTTGAATAGAACATGTGGCAACGATTAGAATAATTCTTCTTTAAATGATATAATTTTTTGTGCATTATGAGTTATAATATGAACGAAATATAACGCTGTTGAGTGAATCCTAGCGCCAGAAGTGTCGCTATGGGTAAACAAATACTGAGTGAATTTTAAAGAAATGCATTTATTCTGTTGTGGTTTATGCGCTGTCGGCGAAGTAGATTTAATTCAATCCAATAAGTTTAAATGAAATGCAAGAAAAAATGCGTATAATTTAATATTCCGTACAAGGAAAGTCATGTGGTGTACACATCAGATTTTTTATTAAGGTTATTCTATTTGATTTCATATTTTCCTCGTGAAGAATTTTAAAAACTGTGGTAAAAAGTGGACTTTTGAAACAAGAAATCTGAAATTGTTCGTAAGTGGTAAAATGTTGAAGATGAGTCAACTCTCATGGACTCTACCCTTCTGGAAAATACAGCTTCTGAACTCATTTCTGATTGGTTATGGTTTTACGTACCAATGCGTGATCATGTTGGAGTGAATTGGCCTTAAGGTTCACCAGCGGCCAAGCAATGAAGTTTCTTAACACAGAAAGGGCTGGCTGCACAGGTTTTTGTCCCATGTGTAACAGGTTTGCAATGTGCTTTGCCATAATCAAATAAACCAAAACCATAGTTGATCCCACCTAAATTTTTGACAATTCCGAAGATCTCCATGCATATGTCATTGACCAATTTGAAACTTCCATCTCCCCAGTGATGATTTGTAGGGTATAAATGTATTGTTATCACAGCAAAACATTTGATAGTTCCAAACATTCAACACAATAAAAATAAAACATCAAATCTTCTAGTTCATAGGTCAAACACAGCACACTTTCTGTGTTTGATATGAATGCTTGAATGGACTGGAAGTTGTTCAGCATTCATATTAGACATTCATATTACCCTTCATATTAGCGCAGCTGACACTGCATGGAAGTCGTATTTTGCTGGACTGGTCGGAGCATTAAATTAAAAGCTTAGAACTTCATAACCAAATCCTTGCATCCGTTTTGTTTGATATATCAAGGTCTCGTTGCCTAACAGCAAAGTTCTGCTGATGCTACTTGTGACAGCTATGCCATGGAATATTGAGATTTTTTTTATGTTGTTTATGACAGAGAGATATTAAACCACGAATTTAAATGCTCCTTTAGGCAAAACCGTATAGAAATAGAAAAGCATCCCATACCTTAAAAAATAATTCAACGGTTTAGCATTTTTTTATTTCTTTAAATTTGACTGTTTCTATGCTATGCTGTAAATCAATGCATATACTTTGTGAATGGTTAAAATAAACTTATGAAACCCCACAAAAGTATTCAGAATGGATTAATTTGATTTCAAAACATCATATTTTCTTTCTAACAGCACCAGTTTCCTGATGTAAAAATTATGATTTTCAAATATTAAACATATTCATTTCAGGGAATACAAACTCAAAATCTCAACCAAGTTGGCAAAAATCTTCTTCAACAGGCATCGATCGAAGATTGTAGTTCTAACAGAGATACACAAAATTCAGCTGTGGATGCAAAGTGTGATCCATCACCATCAAGAAGGCCACCACCACTGTTCAGACAAGCAGAGCCAGTGAGATTTCAGAACCTAGTATCAAATCCAAAGAATGTACACATCAAACAATCTAATGGTGCCATACAAACATCAATTGTAGCCAGTTCCAAGAAGGGAATACAAGGTATATCTACAATTGTTGGATGCGATTCACTACCAGCAGATAGGCCAACAAGCCCTCTGCATTGCAAAGAGCCATCGGCTGCATTCCAGAAAGCACCATGTTCAAATAATGAAGAGTTTAACAAGTTAACACACGCTCCGCACAGACGAATTTCCTCTCAGCAAAAAACAAATGGAAAGAATATTGAATTTAATCATATAGATACCAAACAGAAATATAATACATCTTTTTCAAAAATTCCTTCTGTACAAAAAAATTATCTGCAGAATGTTCCAAATCAGAGCATTTCATCAAGAAAATCTCAGGAATCATCACTTTCAGATTGTTCATTACGAACAGAAAACGTAAATTATCATTCGGAAATCTCGACAGTTTATGGACAAAAATTTGGTGAAAACTATTCACATCAAACTGTAACAAAGTTTCCGAAACCTAACAGGCAAAGTTTTCGAGCATCGCAGAGCTTTCAAATCGTGGTTTTAAGAAGAATGCAAAGGCCTTTGGATGTAATTTATCGAATTCTTCTGTATTTATACAATACTTTTCAAAAATTTCTTACGGAATAGATAATATATTAATTTCATTTGAAACTAAAATGCTGCTAATTAAAACTGGCAGTTGCTTTTATAAGAAACTTACATAAAGCTACATATAAATGTACAATCAATATTGAAATTACTGTGCCAACTTTTAATTGAAAGTTTAAAAACATCATGAAATAAAACATTATTTTAAAACTTCTTACCAGTAAATAAAGGAAGTTTTCTGTTTGCTACATTCCATAAACAGATACTACTGATAATTACACCTAAATCATGCAAGTATTTCCTTCTGATGATTTTTCTAACTTTACAGAAACTCTACTCTCTAACAAATTAATCACACACGGTTTGTTTGGAAAGCAGTAGGACTGAATGCTTTGAAAAAAAAAAAAAAAAAAAATCACAATTTTGACTCATTAACTTAATAGTTTTCAAAATATGCTCCTTCTGCACCAACACAGTGTTTTCAGCGACTCTGCCAATCACTGCAGGAATCTATGGAACGCAGAAACTGGAATGCTCTTCAGCTTCCTCGTTACGGCCTCTTGAATGGCCTAAACCAAGCCATGTTGCCGTTTTTTCATGACCTTTTTCAATCAGGGAAAGAGAATGATGTCTGAAGGAGCAACATTTGGGCTGTAGAGCGGCTGGAGAAGCTGTATGATGCCATGTTTGGTCAGGAAGTCCATGATAGCAAAGACGATGTGGCTTGGCTAATTATCGTCATGGAGCCTCCATGATCCAGCGGTTGCTGGACAGGACGTGGGCAACTCGTTTTCTAAGGCTTTCATATACTTCCATATAGAATGCCGCATTCACAGTTTGACCAGATGGTACAAACTCTCTGTGAACCATTCCTTCGCAGTCAAAAAAGATGATCAACATTAATTTCATCTTCAACTTGCTCTCTTCCCTAGCAAAACAATTTGTACCACTCAAAAACACTAAGCAGTCTTGATCATGTCATGGGTCTCACTCGTAGTTTTACCCAGTTTGACGCAAAACTCCACCACGTAATGCTTCTCTAACAAATGATTCATTGTAGAGATGACAAGGCATCTTGAAAGGAGTTCACCTGAAATTCGATCCCTGGAGACTGGCGGCTGGTAGCTAAGATCTCCCACAACCCAAACAGAGCAGGAACATCCCCCTCTTTCACCATGTTTTGGCTGGAAAATATCAGTCCTACTACTTCCCGGACAAACCCTGTAAAAATATCACAAGCTGCATATATTTTATACAAATCATTCATTCTTTCTTAAACTTGTTAGGTTATGTTTAGCAGATGAGCAATATGTCAGCAATTCTGTGCAGATGGAGCAGTTCATCTAGTTTTAGAAATATTGCCTATTTGTGGAAAATAATTGACTCATATAATAATTATACTGGTAATTAGAGTAGGTAGGTAGATAGGTAGTAGTGGATTTTTTGATGCATAACCCTGCAAGGTTATGAGGCCCCAGACACCAAAGAGAAGCATAAAACGAAACCAAATTGTTAATTAGGACGATCTGAGAATTCCGAATACAGTAATAATTACTTACACAAGACAAAATGGTGTCATTTAACTTACTTCTTTTCTATTAATTATGCTGGAGTTGTATTCAGTAATCTCTTTGTAATGTTCATGAATTAAACTTCAGTTAAGAAATAAAGTATTTTCTAGTTCCTCGGCCATAATTACTACCATGTCTGGTAAACAATGCCAAAGATTCTACATTTTTTAAACCAAAAATTTTCTTCAAATATGCGGATGTTTGAAATGATCATAGATTATCTTCTTTTCACTCACTGAAAGGAATACATTAGAGGTTCTTAGCATTTTATTGTTCCATTTCCCCACTCCTTCTTACCACATGACAACGTATCATTGCATCTAACAGGGTTGCCACTCAAACAGGAGAATGAAATTCCCTAACTTTTCTAGGTGTGTTTTAAAAAAAATTCCAGTCTATACGCGTAGTGCACATTGGCTGTGCTGAGAGGTAAATTAATTATGGTACCATTTGAAAATGCAAAAATTTGCCAATTACATATGAGTTACATATAACTCCCAAAACATTTACTATTATAACTATTGTTCCTTCTCAGTTAGAATATTTCTGTCTATTTGTACTAGCTTGACGTTTGCAGCGCCACCCAATGTCAGTGGCGAGAGCCCAGTACTAATCACTAAGCGATAGGCATGCATTCGGTCCACACCGAGTCTCCGTTCCTCTGCCTGATCAAAGAGGCAGTCAATTCTTAATTGTTCCTTACTCACTCTTTGCCCGTTTAAGCGGCATTATTGTGCTTTAGAGAATATAAATGTTGTTACGTTTTTTTCAACTTTTATGAATTAATATACAATCCACAACTACCAGTTGCTATCAACAACTATAACAGTTGTTTTCTCTGCTGAAAACTGAGCTTGGAATCTGCCCAATACGAGTTAAAAACTGTCTTTTTTTGCAGACATTTTGCAGCTAAACAAAAGAAAGAAATCTATGTAATGATATTTCTAAATAAATTCAAATATTTTATATTTATTTAGCAGCACACATAAACCAAAAAAAAAAAAAAAAATATGTGTATTAAATTTTGTGATGGCATGTGATCATATTGCTAGAATTAGTTTCAGGAGTATGTCAGAGAAAATTCCCTGAAATTTGAAAGTATTTTTAACTAATAATAAATAAATTTAGATGGAAGAAGCCACATTAAATGATACAAATGACATTAAGATAAAGTTAGTTAAGATATAATACGCCAAACAAGTATTAAGATTTAGAAGTCAAGCAAGAAAAACCAGCGTTATATTTTCAAATTTTCACAGGACTAGTTTCGATGGTTTTACCGAACCATCATCCTCAGCTGCAAAAGGGAAAATGAACGAGAAAAGATGTAGTGATTAGATAAGAAAGTCTAGACAGGAGTCAAGCTACCGGCGCCATCTGTTGATGAAACCAAAACTAAAACATAATTTCTCTAAAGGCTGAAGCAGAGATGGATTGGAATTAGGGTCGTTAACTAGAACAGAAAGAATTTTTTGAATGTGAAATGCCTCTAGAAAATCTATTTCACCAATGGAAGATGTTTTTTTGAATAATTTTGGCAGCAGAAAAATTGAAAGTGTGATTTTCGGACCAACAATGCTGCATTTCCTTTTCTTCTAACATATGCCTCATGTTCCTTAACGCAAAATTTTAAGGCTCTCTTAGTTTGACCAATGTAAAATAAACAACACTATCAAGGAATCTTGTAAATGCCCCAGGAATTCATATCTTATCTCGTTCATTTGCGCTTTTGCAGTTGAGGATGATGGTTCGGTAAAACCATCGAAACTAGCCCTGTGAAAATTTGAAAATATAACACTGATTTCTGTTGTTTGACTTCTAAAATCTTAATAAAGTTAGTTACTTAAAGATTAAAAACTGAATTACAATAATCAATGATATTTTGGCGAATATAATTTTATTAACTGATTAACCTAGATGACTTATTACTATTTTTTATTTTACTGCAAAATGACAAATAAGGTATTTATTAAGAAAAAGGTTTAAAAGATTTTGTGATAAAATCCTAGTACACGGTACGGCCTTGGCACGATTTTGAAAATTGTTGGCAACACCAAAATGACCTGTTTACTGCTCATCATAATATCGCCAAATCCCGTGCTTACCATATACTAGGATTAAACCGATTTTGTTTTATACGAGAATGGAAAGCTATTTTTTTTCATTCAACATGCACTGCACATGCGCGTCTCTCGATTTTTCGAGGTTACTAGAAACTTGCTTTGCCTTTCTAAAAGATAATCTGATTGCAGTAGTAAAAGTTGGCTCTACGCCAGGCTGCTCGAACGACACTCGCACAATACATAATTCGCTAAGAAAGTGATCGCTTCCAATGTTGCCGCAAAAATCGCTTTTTTGGGGATTGCCATATGAAATTCCCAGACTTTTCCAGATTTTGATAAAAATATTTAAATTCTCTGACTCTTTTGGTAAATTTTCAAAATCCCTGACTTTTCCCGGTTCTCCAGGTAACGTGGCAAACCTGTTCTAACTTGAAATTTTATTTTAGCGAACTATAAAGATACACATATATTTAATACACGTGTACTACATAGCTTATTAGTACATCAATTATTCATGCATTTAGATGATAGTATTCTTTGCTGCAAGATTTTCCTTACAGTTTGACTTTGCCAAACTATGGTAGGAAATCCACAATAAGATTGTGAAATTCCTCCTTGAGCCGTGAACCAGTTTCATTTGCTGCATTAAGTAATTTTTAATGTAAAGGTTGATTATATTAGAGTAATAAATTGGTAATGAAATTATATTAAAGTCCAGCTACTATGAATAGACTATTATTGGATATTAGATATAAAAAGTATTATTATTACACCATAGCTCCAACCTTTAAATCCTAAAAACTGGGAGATTTGAAGTTTTTCATGTTGTGTAGTGACATTATTTCAAAGGAACTATAAACCAACTTTAATTCACTTCATAATGCATATTTCAGGTCAATGAACTATATGTAATTCATTTCTAATTAAAATATATTATTATTTTATTGGACATTCTAATTTTATGTTCTTTGGCTTATTCATTTCTGAATTTTCTTACATAAAACATAAATAATAAATAAAATAAAAAATTCAATCCTATGCTAAAATAAAAATACTGTGAAAAATCCTGTGTAGTGATGGAAAACTTTTTATTTATCAAAGTACTTTAATACGATGAAAAAATTAATAATTAATGCCCATAGACAATTGTCTAGATAAACTCCAGTAATGTATCTTGCAAAAAATAACAAAAAAAAAAAAAAAAAAAAAGTGGGGGGTTGGGAGGACAGTTCTGCATCATCTCCTGTTCTACTGGACTGATTTTCAAAATTTCACTTGCGTTTCCACGAGTCAAAACACGACTGGGGGTATACATTACATTTATATATAGCATTGTACTAACATAGGTATTTTGACACAAAAATCGGGCTTTTTCTGAAATAACATATCAATTTTATTCCACATAGCGATTCTACGACTCAAATTATGCCAGAGTGCCAAGTTTTGTAAAATCACAGATAGTTTTTAAAAAAATTAGCTCTCAAAATGTGACTGCTCCATGTTAATTGAATTTGATATATACTTATTAATATCTCTTTTTATTAAAACTTATTTAATTCTTCCTTTCCAATTTCAAACTTTAGGTTTATTTCAAATAAAATTCGTCCATTGTTTATGATTTATTTTAAAAAAAATTTTATAAATTTTAGAAAAAAATTTGAATTATAAACTATTACAATTTTTACCGTCTTCTTAAAGTTAAGTAGATGTATTTCTAAGCCTACCTACAAAAAATTAGAATTTTTTTATTAGAAATTTTCTAAGATATACATGAATTTGGCATATTTGTTCTAAGCAATAATAATGCTAAATGTGTTTAACACGCGTTGTTAAAATTATTTGAAAGTATGAATGATGACCTTTTTCTTGCTCATGTACAATGATGAAAGGAAAATAGGTTACTATAAATTAAGAAGTTCGCCAAGTGCATTAAGCGCAAACTTAACAAAATCTGCCAAGATAAATTTTTAAATTTCCCCATAAATTTCTCATCAAATTAAAAAATTTAATATCTAGGCATAATTTGAGTCATTGAATCAAAATATGGAAAATAAACTGATTTGTTATTTCCAAAAAAGTTCAATTTTGTGTCAAAATATCTACGTTAGAATAATACTATATATAAATCTAATATATATCCTATGTTGCACTTTCGAGACATGGAAAATGCAAGTTAAATTTCAACAATCAGTCCAGTAGAACGGAAAAATAGAACTGTCCAATTATTATTTTGGGGGGGGGGCAAGGTGTACCATATATTAAAATAAACAAAATTAAATACAAAATATTAGCTGCTTAAACATTGCTTGAATTTTCATATAAAATCTATGAATGTCTACAGTAGACTAAGATAACTCAGATCAAATGAAATTTAATAATCTCAATTAATAAATAATAAGAAAAAATTATGATTCAGATGAAATAAAATGTAATAAGAAAAATTATTCCGAAAGTCAAAAGGGATGGGGCAATGGAATTTGTCTGATTTAAGTTTCATCAATTCAGTAAATTTCATTTATTGCTGAGAAGCATTTTTCTTAGCAAAGACTAAATTTAAAAAACGGAAGATGTGATGAAAAATTGCGAATCTCGCAGTGAAACCGAGATAGTTGGCAGCTATGTTATACACATGTACAGTATTGGTTTTATACCTGATTAACCTTTTTCATGATTTTACTGATGGAACATTTTAAAATTATTCTGTTAACATTTACAGTTTTACAAAGACTTAATGAATGGATGGTAGGCTATGAATACGAAGGATGTAATCATTTATTTAATAAATAACATCTATATATATACAGTCAAAAGTCGTTAATTCGGACAGCCATAATCCGGAATGATCTATAATCCGGACCTCAAAGCTAAAAACTTTCTGCGCCTTCGAATTGGATCCCGCTTATTATTTTTTGCAGACTGTAAGAGCAATTTTATAAAAGTAAACTTGAACTTTCGATTATGTCAAATAGAATTTACGATGCTGGAACTTCCAAAGGATCTACAAAACGAAAGTATGTTTTCGATGTCCAACAAACAAAAAAGTGGAATTGCTGTAAAAATGGATAAAGACCTGGAGAATGTGACAGAGAGGTTAGTGAAAACGAAAAAATTTCGATTGACAAGTTAGTCGGTATTCTCGGCACAGCAATTAACGGGACTTGAACAGCGGAACTTTGTAACTGAAACAAGAAATTATGTCTGTTTATAGAATTAAAGAGAAAGTATTATCACATAAAACGAAGCAACTTAAACAACTTACATTGAAAGAAATGTTTAATAAGGTAAACAACTAAATATTAAGCTTTTTTTTTTTTTTTTTGGTAAATTTTGATACTCTTTAGATCATAATTGTTTTTTATTTTATAAATTACGGTTTCATATTTTTAATTTTAGAATTTCTGCATGCCATCTTACGAGATTTAAACTGATGATCTATAATCCGGAAAAATCGGTAATCCGGAATCGCCGAAGTCCCGACTTGTCCGGATTAACGACTTTTGACTGTATCACACATTTTTTATTTACATTCCATTATTTATCAGCAATTTTCATCAAACTCAGCTTCTGATGGTGGTTTGCTTTCAGTGTCTGGAGCAGGAGGTAATGTTTCAGTCACAACTGCCAAGATTTCATTCATTTGATCTTCCGTAAAACGTTCTTCACTTTCTTCAATTAACTTGAATAAAAACAAATACTTAATGATTGATTCACCTTTGTTCAAAATGGAAGAATTATGAATAAATGCAAACATACAAAATTACATAAATACATTGAGTAAATTTTAAATTATACATGTGCAAATCATACTGTTATGAATGGTTTATTTAAATATTCTATTGCATGAGAAAGCTTTATACGAATCTTAAAACTCTGAATTCACATTTAAATTTTAGTCAATTCCCAGTTTAATGGGATATGATTAACCAAGTTAAATAAATTAACTTGTCTTAAAAAACAAGTTAATTTATTTAAGCTGTAGAATGATAGAAAAATTACTTTCACAAACCACTGGTATCAATACAATCATAAAAATTCAAAAATAAAAAGAAAGAAAAAATTGTTCTTGAATGCTAGTTACAACTTAATTTCTTTATTTATTTGCAGTGTTCTTTTTGTTTTAAATACTGATTTAATTTATATAACTTGATAACCTTATTCTCCTTTGCACTTGTAAACACGGGTAAATTGTTAATAGTATTTTTCTTAAATTATAATGCTGGTTATTCTTCTTTCCTCTGTTTTGTAACTGCTCTTGAACTAGCAGATATAATCCTCACTTTTGAAGTGTATCTAAGATTCCATGTAATGAATCGACTGAAACAGCATGAAATCCAATATCAAAAGTAATGTAAAGTGAATTTACCTTCAAGTTTTACTCAATAGAATTTTATTTATTTATATGATGACTATTTACACAGAAAGTTAATGATACATTTGTTTTCAAACATCAAAACCAACGTGCATGTTCATTCTTTTTTCAAACAGTCAGAATCCTGCTGAAAAATTGCGAATCTCGCAGTGATACCCTTGTTGATATTCATTGAAAACATATTTAATGTAGGCTTTTGAAAGGGATAGGCAAGCTAAAGCTTTCAACATGACAAACCCTGGTAAACTGAGAGCTGATTGCAATTTACAAAATTTCCACTTGCTTCTTCTTTTTTTTTTTTTTTTTTTTTTTTTTTTTTTATATATATATATATATATATATATATATATATAAAAAAAAGCACTTTTTATAATTAAAATTTTAATTTTGGACTTAAGCATTTGGGGTTTTAACAGTTACAGCCTTTATAGCTCATTGGTTTTAATAATTTCATTTATACATGATTTATTAAAAACAGAAAAATATATGTACTGAGTTTTAATGAAAGTTTCCTGCCACTGAAAATATTATCTGCACAAACAGTTCATGTTGGCGTGTTTAATCATATTTTGCCAAACGATTTTTGGCATTTGAAAGAAAGAGACTTGCTTAAGTACACTGTATTGTGAAATTTGTAAAAAAGAATCATTAGCGTTAAGTACAAGGTGTCTGAAATGAAACTATTATGCTACCAGAGTAGAATCAGAATTTATTTCTAGTTCTGTTGCAAAAAGTCAGCTACAGAATGTCACCAAGTCCTGTGTACAGCTTTAGATACTAATGTTGTATTATGTTATCATACTCATGTTTATCATATGATTGGTACTGAAAGTTCAAAAACCAGGACTTGACATTCAGGAAGCAGAGTGTTCTGGCCGGCCTACTAATGCTGATGAGGCCCGCCTGCAAAAACTTGTGGAAGAAGCTCAGTATGCAAACACTCAAGAGCTTGCTAAGGGGTTAGACATCAGTGCCATGTCCATTAGTCGCACTATGCATCACATAAACTTGATGTACAATTTAATTGCTGGGTGCTGCATGAGTTGACTCATGCAGATAAGGAGAGATGTGTTCGGGCCTGCAATAATCTGCTTGAATATCGAAGCAAGCACAAAATTCTGGACCAGATTGTCACTTGTGATAGAAAGTGGATTTACTTTAACAGCACAGGCCGAAAAATGGATTGGTCTGTGCCTGGTGAGCCCAATGGCAGTGTCACTAAGCACAATTTGACTAACCAAAAAGATCATGCCTTGTATTTGGTGGGATTCCCATGATATTATCCACAAAGTGTATGTGAAAAAAGGTAAAATCCTTGACAGTAAGGTGTACAGTGAGATGATAGTCCATGGTAATGCTGCTATCATGGAAAAATGTTGAAGTGAGTTCCAGCACAAAAAGGTAATGTTTCAAGATAATGCAAGACCACATGGGCCTGCATTCACTGGTTGAACTCTGTATGGACTCAAATGGGATCTTTTGCTGCATCCATCATACAGCCATAACATCAGTCCTTTGGACTTCTACCTTTTTGCACACATGCAACTACATCTTGCTGGTGCTATCTTCAATTATGCACAGGATGTCCGAAATGAGGTTGATCTGTTTTGGACTCACAGCCACCAAGTTTCTCAGCTGAAGTCTTTAAAAAACTACCAAAACTTTAGCAGAAAATCACAGATTTGGGTGGTGATTACTACCTGCACTAAAGGTACTGTTTTCCTGTTTCCCCTCTCCCTAACATAATTAAAAATGTTTTTTGGCGAAAAACTTTCATTACAACCAGATATATATATATATATACACACACACACACACCAACATCTAAAATGATAAACTATAAATGTTTATATAAAGTAAAAAGTTCTTTTACAAAATATACATATATACTTACAAGTTGAATTTCTACCAGACTTGACGGTCGTAAGTTTAATAATTGAAGTTTTTCACCTCTGAAAATGACAAAAAATATTAATAAAACTGACACACAAATTATTGGAGAAGCAGCAAGAATCAGTATAATAGTATTCATAAATTTGCTAGACAGTTGCAAAGGTTTAAATATTGAACTTTCATTTTCACACAACACATTTGAAAACAAACGCATTTAGTTTTCCAAAATAATTATTACAGTGCAAAGTCTGAAATCTGAACGTCCATTATCCGGAATGATCTAAAATCTGCACCTCAAAGCCACAAACCAATTTTTTTTGTTTTTGTTTTTTTGCATTTGATTTTTCCTTCCATACTAAAACATGTGGAGATTTTCACTTAACAATTCCAATTTTTAATTTCACTTAGGCACTAAATAAAATCCTCATTATGGAAAAACAATCATGTAAGCATAAATTTGTGAGATTAATAATTTGGCTCCGTACTTGAGCGTCTGCTTGGCATACATCTCAAACCGAAACATTTGCCTGTTTTATATCCCTGATGCCGACCTGGCGAGTCATTATTTATTATATTTTGCTTTTATCACCATATGTTTATCAATACATGACAGCTTCAGTAATAACTCATGCAGTGGATGTCTATACTTTTTTTTTAGTACTAGTAATTGAATAACAAGAGTATGGCAACCTTTTAAACATTACGCTTGGTATTTGATTATAGATTTTTAAATGCTCTAAGAAATTTTGACGAGGAAAAATTCAACAAAAATTTCTTTTCATATGCTAAAAATAGATTTTGTTAATGAAACTCATAGGTCAAAAGATTACATTTAATGCTATTTTAATTAAGAAAAACTGATATGTTATTCACCATAAACCCAGAAGCGATGGCAGAATATGTCGGCACCGGACGGCAGAATTTAGGGAAGGCAACATTTTTGGAATTTGGAAAAGCACCGAGTGGCAAAATTAAGGGATGAGAAGTTTTTTATAATGCAAACTTTCTGTAATTGGAAAACATGCATGACCTTGAGCATTTAAAGGAGTAAAGATTTTTCCCGTTATATATTGTGCAAATAAAAGTGCATGGATGACTCAAGCATTAACGAATGATTGGTTTGAAAATCATTTTATACCTGAGGATCGGCAACATTTGAATTTGGTTGGTTTACCTGATGACGTAAAAATAGTCCTGATTGTAGACAACTGTACGGCTCATACTTCTCTCAAAGTTTTAGTGAAAGATAATGTATCCATATTATTCTTCCCTCCAAATTGTATGTCTATCACTCAGCCTATGGATATGAGAATAGTGCACGTGCTGAAATGCAAATATAAAGTAGCATTTTTAAAATCCATGTTAAATTTCTTGAATAATGGCAAGACTATTCAAGACTTTTTGAAATTTTTAGCATAGAATCTGCTGTGTTGAGCATTGCAAGTTCATTGGAGGATGTGTCTCTACATAAGTTAAAAAATGCTTGGCATAATTTATGGCCATCTACCATATTTCACAGTGAAGACGATGAAGATGAAGAATTAAATTACCTAAATGCAGTTATTATAGACAGAAGCTTTTTCACCCAACATTATTGACCAAGCAATTAAAAAATTCTCTTCTCAAATACATCAAAAATTATCCTCTTGTTTTAGAAAATTATATGAATTATGTCATGATTCCTTTCCTTCCATTGATTAATTAAAAAATTGCATGTATGTTACAGAAATTCAACTTTTGGGATGTTTTTTCTTACATCAATAAATTTGCAGTTCCACACTTAAGAACCCCATTTTGGATACTCCTAAAGTATATACAGGATTCCTTGCCAATGCAGTTCAGTATTTATGAACATTGCATTTATTCTTGTTTTCCTCTAATAATTGTTATTCAGCATGTTATTTTAACTGAAATCACGAACAAATATACAAATAAAATACATACTTTAATATCCAAATAAAAGTTTCATTAATTATTTCATCAAAGAAAACTTACAAGAGTTATCAATCTCAAAAAGAGATCTTGTATGGAACATATTTCAAAGGAAATTAAACTGATTTAACACTGCACACAGCCAAAGCTCCAAAATCTATAATTTCACCAAGAAAAATCATCCCAGAACAAAAGTAAAGCTTCAAAATCTATAATTTCACCAAGGAAAATCATCCCAGAACAAAAGTAACAATTATAACTATTTTATACATAAATAACACATTTTAAATCTAATTCATGATAAAATTACATGCCAATAAATTTCTGAAGAAAAAGCAAATTGCTTTAGATTTTATGTTTACTATACTTACTTATTTCACATTAAATAAAACTTCAGAGGATTATAATTATAAAAATACAGCACTCTCTCCAGGCAAAGAACAAAAAATTTGAAATTGTAAAGCTTAAAGTAATCTGCTAATGCAGTTCTTCTATTCACCTGTATATATTCTAATAATTTTTATCAATTACATAAATTGTGGCTTTTATTTACAATAGTCTCTCTTCTGATACAAAACTTAGAGTAGAAATTTTTGTAGTGCACTGAATTACATAATTATATGAAAATTGGTGCACATAAAGTACGGGAACACTTTAAAAAATTTATTGTAGACAAACTATTAGCAGGAAGTAAGAAAGTACATAATTTCAAATAATAAGGATCAGTGGCGGCTCGTGGCTAAAATTAGTGGAGGTGCCGTTCCAAAAAAATTTAACCTTTGTTTTAAAATTGTATAAAAGGAAACAAACATGTATAAAAAGAAATTTATTTTGAAACTTCATGAAATCTTACAAGAAAAAAATTAAACATTTCTTAATTACTTTAACCAAAATTGTTACAGTTCAATCTTTGTCTATTCCTTTAAAAATGAAATCCATTCTTTTTGTTTTAATTTGCATGAAAAGATCAATAATTTTCTCCTTGATCTCTGGATGACAACTGAGGAAATTTTTCTTTATTGAAAGCAATGCAAGTGCATTTAGTCTTTCCAAATTCGTAGTACTTCTTAGAAAAGTTTTCATTCATTTCAAAGTTGAAAAGCAGTGTTCTGCCTCTGATGTAGTCATGGGAACTCTCAAGAGAATTTTTATCAGTTTTGTAATTTCACTAAGAATATCATCTAGATTATTTTCGAAGATAAATTTCAGTAGCTCAATTAATTTCCAGTATTTATAGATATCAGACCTACAATAGAATACTTTTAGTTCAATTTCAAGCTTTTCTTTGTCAATCATTGGATTATGCTTCAGTGGTCAGTACTAGTTCTTCTGTAGAATGTTCATTCCTAAAACTAAGCATTTCTTGTTAAACAATTTAACATCTGCTAAGTGTTTAGTGGAAGAATATCTGTGCATTATATCAATACATAGTATAAAGTCACACATTTCCTTAGCTTCAGCCATCAGTGTCTTTGAAAAATTTTCACAGTACTTTGAGTTTCTTAATTCTAAAATAGCAGTTTTGAAATTTGTTATATCTTCATTAACTTTAAACACACTAATTTCTCTGCTCTAAGAAAACTTGAAATTATCATCATTTAGATATTTTAAAATTCCTGTTGCTTTTGCAATAGTTTGATCTGCATTTGATGTTGACTGAATTTCAGTAAGGCAATTTTTTAAAAGTTGCAAATTTTCATGAACTCTGTTTATGGTCTGTACGATGAAGTTCCACCTTGTAGAGGAATACCACATGTGCGGAGTAAAAGGAAATCATGTTTTCAACAACATGCCAGAATTTCGGCACTACAAGAGCGACAGTGCTCTTCTCTCTCCCGGCTTGCGTGCTGCTTTCTGTATGTGTATACACAGAACAGCCAAACACCACGTCGCTGGAACTGTGAAGCACACAGTTCCAAACAAAGACTTTTGTACCTTTTCCACAAAGTGGGGGATGGCTACTGACATTAAGCTTAAGGATTATGTACTGTAAAAGTATAAAGAAAGAATTAAAGACTAAAGGGCACACTATATTAAACATTAAAAATAATAAGTGGAAATAGGGGGTTGCTGCAGTTCTACAGTGCTTATTACGAGCCGTCAATGGTAAGGATAGCACATAATTTCAAATAGTAAGGATATAAGTTTTTTTTACATATTTTACAAACATAATTTGTGGGAGCCATGCATGACTTGACAAATGCCAAAGCAATAATCAAAGTCTTGCCAAGCATGGTCCAACATGTCCTCCAAGACTGTGGCTGTTATCTCTGTAATTCTCCATTTAAGTTCCAGAAAATTATGTGGAAGGAGAGAGATGTATAGTCCTTCACATAATCCCACAGAAAAAAGGGGAAAAAAGTCACAACAGGCATATTAGGGGACCTAGTAAGGATATTTCAGCACATTCTGATTTGTTGCCTCACCATGGTCTACCCAACGACTGAAGAGTTCTGCATTTAGATATGCCCTAACAAAACAATGGAAATATGGAGGGGCCAGGTCTAGCTGAAGTACAAGGTTATCAGACTCATTCTTCAACAACGGCATTAGCCAGTTTCACAACCGCCCAACCAGTATGATGGTTAACGTCTCTCACTGCCATGCCGAGGGGTCCGGGCTTGAATCCCGGAGAAGGTATGGATGTTTGTAAATATATGGCATCCATGTGAGCTTGGGCTGACTATAGGTTAGACAAATGGGCATTAGCAAGAACAACAACAACAACCAGTTTCACAATATTACAAGGAAGGACTCTCCAGTTACAGTTGCCTCGTCAGAAAAAATAAACAAATCAACAAAATCACCTTGTTTTAACTGCACTGAAGAGTAAAACTGAAATAGCTTGCCTTTATTTTGGGAATAAAACTTGTGAACCAACAGCAATCTATAAGATCTCATGCAGAGCTTAAATTACACCGGAGCCTGGCTCCAATACTTCTCAATTTTCGAGATACATTATAATTTCAGCCGGAGTGCACAGGAGCCCTAAATAAAAGGACTCCGGCACTTTTTTTATGTAAGTGAACCCCAATTTTAGCAGATAAATTTTGTTTTAATAGTAAACATGCCTTAAAAATCAATTCTAACTTCTGAATGAAAGCTTGTCTTTTCTTCATACTCAAACCTTGCACAGAGGTTGAGACTTTTAAAGAAAGAAAAGTCCTGCAATCATATGTCAAAGGCTTATTCTCCAGGATGTGCAATGAATTTATAACAGTGGGCTAATTTTGTGTTCCTCAAAGTACTAAAAGTGATACCCTGGTCCTACATGTTCCACGCTAGTGACTTCCTGTTGCAGAAACTCAAAACTCCTGTAGACTTTCTGAATGATGCAACAAAACAGGGAGGGGAAAACTGCTGTCACTTGTACAGAGAAGTCTTACATTTATTCTTCCATTGTTACCAAATTGTATTCAAACAAAATTTCTTATCGATGGCTAGAATTATATCGACAGGGCATCGTGATCAAATCGTTTTACCTTTATTTCCTTGATGTGCTGGAAAAAAATAAAAAAAAAGAGTAATACCTGTCATGCTTTGGAATAGTATATGTATAATCAGGGCTTAAATTCAGATGGAAATCAGCTGAGCTGCTTCTTAGCTTCTAAGTGGAATTGTAAGCCCGCGATGCCCAAATATGACAGGTCCAGATGGGGGTCTATTTAAAATTAATTTAATAATTTATTAGATTTCTCTTAATTTAAATTTAATTATTTAAATTTTTAGCTATTTTACCTATTTATTGATTTTTTTTGTTCATCACAGTCTTTCGTAGGGCTCCGGCACTTCTAACTTCAGAAATTAAGTCCTGGTCTCGTGTGTAATTTTCTATGCAAGACACTCCATACACTTATTGTTGGCATTTCCAGCTCACATGCAGCAGTTTGTACAGATTTTCTCCTTGTGAACACTTCTCTCAGTCAGTCAATGTTTCTTACATTAATGCCAGGCTGACCATTTTTCTGCTTCACACATAAACACCCACTTTCAACTAACCTTCCATGCCAGTTGTAGACTGTCTTTCTGGTTGATGCTGCTTTCTGATGCTTCATCTTAAATTTTCATTGGACATCCATTGCACTCTTCATTTCATCAAATTCTAGCACACAAAAGGTCGTCTCCACTCCAGAAACCACAAGCTTGCTTCTGACACCCCCTAGTGGCAGTATATGGAACTGTTTATTACACCTGCAATAATAAAAGACTTACATCTTTATCCTTTGAAATTTTATAGTTTCTTACTTCTTACCGCTCATAATTTGCAATTTTTTTTAAAAGTATTCCCATACTTTATGTACACCACTACCTGGGAGAAGGGATGCTTTCAAAATTTATCTGAGGTGAATTATCAGGTTTAGTTACTAAATAATTTTCAAGCAAAGGAATTAAATGTACATTTATTTACATAAACATAGAATAATTAAAGCATAAAAATGATTAATTTATTGTATGTAAGTACTACATTTTTACCATCAAAGGATAAATTCCAAAATTTGCAAATATTGAAAAGAACTTAGCTTTCCATTGAAATATAGAGCAAGAAGCTGTTTGCCAAGACTGATTACATATGATTATGAAAGCTGCAATTCAGTCACTTAAACAATCGATTTGGGAGGGACATATGTGAATGGTCCATATAGGCATGAAAATTAACTGAATTAAAAATAATTGAAAGAAAGTCTTAAGAAAACAGGGATTTCAAAAGCCTTTAATGATCGTGACTATAATTTAATCCTGAAAATGACATTTAGGAATCTATGGCTCCAGGCAAGGGCAGTTTCAAACCAAAGAAATTAAGTTCATCAATATTTGTATTTAATAAAGTGAGCCACAGACACCCTTCTTCAATAATTTTTATTCAATTCTTATAAGTACCAGTGGACTACAGTTAATTATTATTGCTGGTACTCAGTGTTTATGGCATGTTTCACAGAATGCATGCAAACAAGCCAATCCACACATGTGTATGCCTGCAGACTTTATATTCATTTGCTTTTCACTGAACAGTATCATCCACCTGCAAAAATGTAAATATTGGCTTTTGTTTTATCCTAACCCTTCTCATTCTTTTATTGTTAATTCTGAACAGAACAGCTATAAACATGGCCAAGCAAAAGATTTTGCCAATTCACAAAGTCGGCAATCATATTTCTCTATTTTTTCAAAGGCCGTGTAAAAATCTTGTTTGTATTTTTTCAATTTTATATCGAAAGGCTCTTGTTTCTTTATTTTCATTCGCTTTATCTTAGCAATATTATCCAAAAATATTTCTCAAAATCTAATTCATCACTGGAAGAGGATGATAGAACTTAATTGCAATGTATGCAGTTTGGACGTCCTGATTTGAATTCTCCAAATGTTTGAGAATAATTTCATTTCTTAATGAAAGTTCATAGATGGCTTTTTTAATTTGATGCATCCAAGAAAATTGGTGTTAAGGTCTACATTATAGTGAACCCAGCAAGATTTCATTGTCTTCTAGCAAACTAGGTTCCTTTTCTTTATTGAAGAAATATCCTTCTGCAATAAAACTCCATTCAGAAAGAAAACTTCACAGTCTTCCATTCTCGCTCCGTCAATTCTTCAGATTCGCAGCTTTTTTGTGGACTATATACGTTGTTGTAGAAGAAAGTTCCAATTCTGAAGATCATTCCAAAGTCTTTTGTAGTTAAAAAAATTAGGGTATCACATCTTCTAAAACAGTTCTTAATCTAACAAAAAAAAAAAAAAAAAAAAAAACCCCCGTATATCAAAATATTGTACTCCTTATCACCTTGCTTGATCAATAATTGATCCTTTCCTGCTCGCTTCTAAGAATGGCATCGGGAGTTCTTGCTGCTACCTAAATACCAGTGAGATTTGAACTAAATGAATCCGTTTAATCACTATGGCAAGATCCATCCAATCCTCCTCCTTATATTTATTTTTAATATGTCAATAAATAGAAAATAACTATTTATTAATGTATATAGTCCATAAATAAAAACTCCTATTTTTAGCAACTCCAGCTCTGACTCCTCCAAAATCTGCCCAACTATGATTCCGACTCCACAGCCCTGGTTTTTGTCATGATTATTATTTTTAAGAATACTTACAGTCAACAAAAATGGCTTACTTATATACTGTTTACTTGATAGGAATTTTTAGTTTTCTGATCAACCATGAATGTTGGACATTGTGCAGAATTTGTAACAGTCATTCCAGCAAAAATTTGAAGGAACAAACAGATCCCCCCTTTTTTTAGTTAGAAAATCAACAGCTTAAATATATAAGCTCACTGCCAATACTTATATGTTTTCAAATAAAATCCCATATCGAGTCCATAAATACAGACACTTTTTGATGCCAGGATCATGTAATTTTGAAAATTCTTCACTTCTTATTGTTTCACAGAAAACAGGTCCCAAATTTAACAATTTTTCCAGAATATAAAGTAAATACAGAGAAATAGCAGTTAACTTATATCTTTCTGGCTTATCCACTATTTATGGCAGTTGTGTAAAGCCCAGGTGAAGATCTTATGAGAATGTTGTGATGTTATACTTATCCATTATTAGCACTAAATCACACATGTGACAATTCCTGTTTGTCAAAAACAGTCAACAGGAAGGTATTGTACTCAGTTTTTCAATTAGAACATATATGGCATATTTTAAAATATTGAATCCAATTTATACAACCATTGTTTTTGTTTGTTTGCACTTGTGAGAATAAACATCAATATAATCCTTTCTTTAAAAAATTTTACATATTTCACAGCTTGGTGTTTGATTAGTAAACCTGCTGACTCTCCTGAATTAGCTTATGTTAACAATTAAAGTTTTCATTATGATTAAAATATTTAACCATATGTACATATAATGTGTAAATTCTTATAAATTTAATCACAAAAATTAATAAGATGGATTACATAATTTATAAAATTCATATGAAAATTCATTAGATGAAATTTCGACAAATTTCATGAAATAAATCTTATGAATTTAAAGTATTACAGCAGTAAGTTAGTATTTCAATTAAATAGAACAAACATATTTCCATTCAATTACGGATTAAGTAATTTAACTCTTCACAAAAATAAAAATTTAAAAAAAATTTAAACAACAGAAATACAGCTATATTTTTAAGAACGAAAAAATTAATTTAATGAAAAATCTGATGTGGACACCACACAATTTCCTTGTATGGCCTATTAAATTGTACAAATTTTTTGCTGCACTTTATTTCCTCAAATTATTATAACTTATTTAACTGATCCCTCAAGGCAAGATGAAAATGACAATTTTTGCTGATTTTGAAATTAAATATCCCAGTCAATTTTTGAAGCATGGAAGTCAAACTTCATGTATTTTTATTTTTTCAAAATAAGTATACAACTTTCCAAAATATAAGTGAAGAAACTATAAGACTGCATTGAAAGTTGGATTTTTTTTTTATTTGTTCAAAATTCTTTAAAATATTAAAATTCTTTAAAATATTGAATAATTAAAATAT